TGCATTTTTGATATATTTTTCATATATACATATATATAATATATAGAAATATATAAAATATATGAAAAATTGATGTGGGTGCTCAGATGAAAGGTCTTGATGAGTGTAACATCAGGATGAGCTTATATCTTTAAAAATGTCAATAGTTGACGAGATACAAGGTCATTTCATAATTATGTATCTAGAGATAATTTTCGAATGCAGCTAAATAAAAACCCATTCTACCATATAAATTCAGTGGCCATAAAATTTTGCATATTCTCTTAATAATATAAATTTTTTTTCAGATTTTGTATCAACTTTACCGTCTCTAAGCTGAAATGTACAAATAAAATCTATATTTTTTTGAGAAAATTTCTTAATAATAAATGAGGAAAAAAATAAATTTTGCTACTGTGGGACCAAAATATATTATCTGTGATTTATTTACGTGCCAAAGATATTTTCTTCACTGGATTAAGAATTTATTTATATAATTAAATAATCAAAGGAATTATTTATTTAAACTGCCATGACTGGACACTCTACGAGAACAAGCAGCGAAGCCATAAGACTAGAGCCTATTGGCAGGACCTCCAGTTCTAGAAGTCCTGGACAAAATGGGACTGCTAACACCGAAATTCCGGAAATTTCTGGTAAGAATTTTTTTTTTTTTTTTTTTATTATAATAGGATTGAAGAAGAAAGAAGTGTTTTTTTTTTTTTGGAAGTCGATAATAGAGCTGAATAATATATATTTATACGGAAGAATCCTAGATGTGTTTGATGTTTGAAATGTAAGGTCACAAGTTCAAGAGGTCGTTCAGTGGCTCTCGAAATAAAGGAACTATTTTTCGGGTTGAATAATTTTAACTTGACTATTGATGTTAGATTTAAATAAACTTTTAACTTTTAGATTGAGGTTGGATTATTTTTGGACGACCCGGAATAAAAATTCATCACTCTGTAAGATTGTAATTTATTTTTATTCCACGAAAAATTAGTAAATTAATTCACCTATTGATTTAGAATTAATTTAGAGTTTTTGGAAGTTTTGAAAATTTGGACATTAGGTTAGGGCGATAAGCCAAAAAAAAATTCACTTGCAAAGCAGCAATAGATCAAGTTATTAAGTACCATTCAAAAGTTATACTCTTGCTGATGAATCTGAAAGAATTTAACTACAAAATTAATTATTAGAAGAAAATTAATTAATACTCACCATATTGAATTATCTCAGTGAGATACCTCAAAAATTTGACACAGTAGGGTTGTTGAGCTGAAAAAATAAGCTGTAATTAATTATCATAAAAAATTTCCGCTTGATGAATTAATTGATTTAATTAATTAATTCTATAAATATTGAGTTATTAATACCACAAATATAAGATAATGTTTCTTAATACTTACCTGTAGATTTAATCAAAGTGATAAATAACACTTCTTTTAATATTTAAAAAAAAAAAATTTAAGAATTAATCTTATTAAAATTAACTATACTTACCTAAATTTTCTTCTAAATCATCGCGAACTCTGAAAATAAAAAAAAAAAAATATTAGTTTCATGTTTGGCTATAAGACAAAAAATAATAAATTTACCTCCAACTATAATTCTAAGGGTTGAAATCTGGCTCAAGCGTATGTCAGAAGATGGCAGCACATATTTACCAGAAATGCGTAACACAAATAAACCCCCGTGAGTGCAAGCGTGAATGAACGAACACCCAGTAGAAATCAATCCGCCATTTTTGTCAAACCACGCACTGACTAGTTTCACTTGTTAATTTTCCAAATGCTTGCTAATAATCACTCTTATTAAATTCATCGAACCGGTGCTCGTACTTATCTGCAACAAAAAAATAATAGTTAGAAAAATTACCGTAGGGTAAAATGGCCAGTGAGTGGGAGGAAAATTTAGCGGTAGGAGTAACTAATATTGCTACGGATTAATAATTAAAATTAATTCGAGAAGTGTTTTATCTCGTGGATTTAATTTTTTTTTGCTAGTAATTGATTGTGACGGTAATTTTAAAATAAAAATAAATTCGACGAATTTATTCTGGCTGAATCAACCGAGCCCTTGATTAAGGTCGCGTATGCGTCAGAGGACCAGGTTAAGGGATTTGTTTATAAAAGACCGCCTCCTAATTCTTTTGTTATAATGAGTGAGCAGGATGTTGACGATGTTGCTTTTTTAACGGGTGAGAAATTTTTTTTATTTGAAAAGGGAGATTATTTTTTGTTAATTTAAAATTTGGAAAAAAGTTCAAGATTTGGAAAAAAAAAAAATAAAAAGTATTAATAGATTTGTACTCGATAAAAATACCATTGTGTGCATAGTAATACATATGTTAGCACGATGTACACAATCGATACAAAAAGAGGCCTTGTAACAATGACACGGTTGCATTAATTTATAAATAGTTGTTTATTGTTTCCGCGGCAATAATTTAAAATGTAATTTATATTTGGAATTGCAGGTGATAGTAACACTGGGTTGCATAAACGGAGCATCTACGAGCACAATGGAGTCGCGGTGTGCTCACAGAAACGCGCATTGTGCATCGCGACTATTGTTTTCGCCACGTTGTTCGCCATATCACTTATTATCGCGTTCGCGGGACCACAAAATGGTAATTAATTATAAAAAAAAGATTTTTATTACAATTTTAGAGGTTCTAAATTTTAAACAACCTTTGGGAATTTGCAGACTGTCCATGTGCCGGTGAGAGACCGGATAATCTAGGCATCGATGATGATTACGAAAGTCTAGAGCCATTAGCGACAAATGGAGAGGTAATAATCTTTAAAAATTTCTTCGACCATGCTATTTTATTAATATCACCAAAATTATACTACATATAGCCAAAATTATTTTTTCTATACCTTTTAAAATACTTTTGTACCCTAAAAACATTTTAAAAAAATTTTTTCTAGATATTCCCATGGGATAACGTAAGACTCCCATCATTTGCGCACCCAACCCGTTACAACATCACAATCCACCCAAACTTAACAACCCTAGAAGTGAAAGGCCAAGTGACAATCGAGTTCTACGTCGACAAAGAGACCAATTTCGTAGTCTTCCACAGTAAAAACCTGACAATAACCGAAAAGGTAACAAAACAGCCAGCTTTACCATTTCCACTACTCGCCCTTAAACTAAACCTCTCAAACCATTTCCCAGATGGTGCAGAACCGAAAGGGGCATGACATGAAGATCAGCCAACTTCTAGAGTACCCCAAGCACCAGCAGCTCTACCTAGAGCTAGAAGAAACCAAGTTCCGAAAGCGCGGCAACTATTCAATCCACCTGAGATTCGTCTCACAATTAACCAGCGAACTTGAGGGATTCTATCTAAGCACCTACACCACTGCTGATGGTGACAAAAGGTATCTCCACCATCACCATCACCATCACCATCACCACAACCATCATCATCACTAACACCCAATTCTTGCAGGTACCTAGCAACGACCCACTTCGAGCCAACCTACGCCAGATCAGCGTTCCCTTGTTTCGACGAGCCTCAATTCAAGGCCAGGTTCCGGGTGTCTATCTTCAGGGACCGGTTCCACATCGCGCTGTGCAACATGCCGATTACTAACACAGAGGACGCGGGCTTTTACATGGGCCGTGGGTTGGTGAGTAAAAATCACTTACCTTAAAATATTCCTGCTCCTCAAAAGACCATCCTGGACAATCCTACCCTTAGTTTTGGAGACCAAGTCCCTGATCCAGTCGAACTTCCAGCTTAGGGACGACTTTGAAGAATCCGTGGAGATGTCAACCTACCTGGTCGCCTTCGTAGTCTGCGACTTTAAGCGGATCTCCCAGCTGACCAGCAGGAATGTGTCTGTAAGCGTCTACGCATCCGAAACGATGCTGCCACAGGCAACTTACGCCCTGGACACCGCCGTTAAGGTCATGGACTACTTCGAGGACTTCTTCGGCGTCCACTATCCTCTGCCAAAGCAAGACTTGATCGCAATTCCGGATTTCGCAGCCGGTGCTATGGAAAATTGGGGCTTGATCACTTACAGAGAAGCTTCTATTCTCTACGATCCTCAGGAAACTTCCACAGTCGCTCACGAATGGGTTGCTGTGGTGATAGCTCACGAATTGGCTCACCAATGGTTCGGAAACTTGGTTACCATGAAATGGTGGAACGATTTGTGGCTAAACGAAGGAGCAGCTTCGTTTTTTGAGTACAAGGGTGTTAATCACGTGGCTCCGCATTGGAATATGATGGACCAGTTTGTTCTGGACAAGACTCAATCGGGATTAAGCTTGGACGGACTGGCTACAAGTCATCCTATCAGTGTCCCAGTTAAAGATCCAGCGGAGATCGAAGCTATCTTTGATACCATCAGCTACAACAAAGGTGCCAGTATTTTGAATATGTTAGAGGGCTTCTTGGGTGAGGAGGTCTTCAAGAAGGGGCTCAATGAGTATCTTAATGTCCACGCTTATGGCAGTGCTGATACAAACGACCTGTGGGCTGTCTTCACTAAACACGCCAACAAAAGCTTCGATGTCAAGGCTATCATGGACACCTGGACCCAGCAGACAGGATTTCCGCTGGTCAGCATCAGGAGAGAAGGAAAGATGATCACTGCCAGTCAGAAGAGGTTCATGCTCACTCAGGATAATGAGACTCTGGTGGACGGCAAGCCGTTTAAGTGGTATGTTCCGCTGAGCTACTACGTTGACAAGGATCCTAGTACTGTCTTCAATGTCTGGATGAACTTGTCAGATGGTGAGTACTTGATACTTGTTTTGTAGATTTGTTGTAATTGTAATTGTGGTATAATTTTGCAGTGACCTTTGAGATCCCGGAGAACACCAGCTACATCAAGTGCAATGTCAACCAGTCTGGGTTCTACAGAGTCACCTATCCAGAAGAGATGTGGGACGCGATTATTGAAACCTTAATGACCAAGCACCAGCAATTCAGTCCGATAGATAGGGCCAATTTGGTAGATGATGCGTTTACATTGTGCGAAGCTGGTGAGATCAATGCCAGCATTCCGCTGAGGTTAAGCTTGTATTTATTGAAGGAACGTGATTATGCGCCCTGGGCCACGGCATTGAGCTACTTGCACTCTTGGAAGGGCAAGCTGGCTGAAAGTTCTGGGTACAAGAGGTATATTGTGTTTTTGAAGAAGCTTCTGGCGCCGATCACGGAGTTTGTTGGGTGGAAGGATGAAGGTGATCATCTGACGAAGTAAGTTGGATTTGTGGTTGATGATTCTTTGCTTAATATTGATGACCTTCCTTGATTCTTTGCTTCCAGGTGGCTCAGGATAGCAGTTCTCCAAGCGGCAGTTGAACTCAAACTAGAGGAAGTCGTCAAGCCTGCAAAGAACCTCTTCGAGGACTGGATGCTCCGCGGCAAGCGGATTGTCCCCAACATCAGGGACGTTGTCTACATCGCTGGAGTCAGGTTTGGCGGAGAGAACGAGTGGAACTACTGTTGGGAGACCTTCAGGAAGACCCAAGTCCCCAGTGAGAAGAGGTTGATGCTTCAGGCTCTGGGAGCCTCCACGGATCCATGGTTGCTTCAGCGGTATCTACTGAAGACTCTGGATCGGGAGAATGTTAAGTCTCAGGATGTCGAAGCGGTGATTTCGGCGGTTGCTAGGAATCCTGAAGGAAGGAGTCTTGCTTGGAGACATCTCAAGGCCTACTGGCCTCAGTTTCATGCGCTCTTTGGAAACGGATCGCTTACTATGGGCACGCTTATTTCGACAGTCGTCTCGGAGTTCTTTACTGAATATGATTATCAAGAGGTACGTCCAATTTTTAACAATTGTTCATCACTTTTCTTCATTATTTCCTCAAATTTCCACTAAATTTGATCATTAATGAATCATTTAGATAGAAAATTTAATTTTCCAGGCTTCAATTCTTCCAAAATTTTCTTAAACTCAATATTTTCCGAGTTACAGCTGAATTAATCCAAAAATTCCCAAATTTTTACAGGCAACAGAGTTCTTCAGTGACGTAGAGGTAGGAAGCGGCCAGAGGGCGCTGGAGCAGAGTTTGGAAACAATTAGGTTCAACATCCGGTGGGTAAAGGAGAACGCAGACACGATAGACCAATGGCTGATCGACTATCTAAAGGATCACAACGGCTAATTTGGTTATTAATCACATTAATTACTCAAATAAAAGTATTAATTACTATTATGATAATAACAATAACAATCATAAATACACTAAAATTCAACGTACAATTTATACCGGTAACTATATAAATTATATATATATATATATATATATATATATATATATATTATATATTTATATTTATCAAATTTGATGTGATAAATTTATTGATAGATCATAGACGTCATATCAAAATTAACCATCGATTATCGATTATTGCACTGGTTTTATTTCTTTTTTGATTTATCAAAGTTTTTTTGAGAAATTGTATACTCATTGATTCATGTCTCATGTGTAAGGATAAGTTATATATTAAGGATTAAGTATTAATCTTGTAATTAATTAATCAAGAGTGGGGATTTTTGAGCTTGAAGCTAATTTTGGAGAAATTGTTTGTTTTTGGCGATCAGTCCGGAAAATTTGCTTGTTATTAGATAAGAAATTTAATTTTCTATAATTTTTAACTCATAAAATTTCCAAAAGTTCATTATTTTAGAAGCTACAGCCATTTTGAAAAGGATAATGATGATAAAATCAATTTTTGGTTATTGTAATTACATTTTTCCAAATAATTGAAGTAATTTACGAGAAAATTAAACAAGTTACAGTACCATATGATAGGAAATTCAATTTCCTACAATTTTTGTCTTCTAACCTCAATATTTCCAAAATAATCGCCATTTTTTTAGAACAAATAATATTTCCCGCAAAAATTCAAATTTTACCGCCAAAAATAAGAAAAATATAATTTAAAAAAAATCTTCACTCTTCTTACGTATAACAACAATAAGTATACAATAATTAACTATTAAAATAACATTAATAATACCAAAAAAAAAATATTTTAATAACACAAGTATTATAATATATAAAAATACCAAAGAATTTTTTTTTCAATTTCTTTTTTTTTGTCTCTACCGTCCGTAGTAAAAAAAAAAAAAAAACGTTTTTTTTTATTAAAATTAATGCACTTTTTTTAGTTAATTATTATTGTAATTTTATATATAAGTAATATATTATGTAAAAAAAAAACGTAAATATTTAAAAGTGTAGATTTTTATACATCAATTAGAAAAATTTCCAAGTTTCTAAATTAAGTTTATTGTTTACGCACAAAAATAAATAATTATTTTATTTTAAAAAATAATAATGTAAATATAGGATATTTTTTCACAAAGCTTTACAATATTTATTTATGGACAGTTTCTTTATTTAATTAAATTTTATTATTTAATATTAATATTATTTATGTAAAATTAATAAAAAATTTAAAAAGCTAATTTTGACTTTTATTAAAAGAAAAAAAATAATTTTATGGGATATTTAATATAAAAATGCTACAAAGTTTTCTAAAGAACAAGGTCGCCATCTTTGCGCCATCTATTGGATTTATTTTGAACTATTTTATATTACCCGCATGGTAAAATTATTTTTTACACTATCCAATGTTTGTTTATTATTATTTTATATATTTTTAATAAATATTAATATATATTATTGTTTATTAAAAATATTTATAAATTTTAATAATTTTTTTAAGATAAAAAAAATTTACAAGCGGTAAAAATGTACAATCTCTTTTTTAAGGCCGTCGCAAAATTATAATAAAAAAAAAATATATGTATAGTACATGCTGTTTAAAGTCTAAGTGCGTGTTGATTCGTCGGGGCAAAATCATCTGTTTAGTACCATCCTGTAGTACTTTGATGGCTGTAGCTGTAACTGTTGTTTAGTCTTACACAAAACATTAAACAAAATATATATAAATTAGTTTCAAGTTGTTGTTTTGTGTCTTTTTCAGACGTCTAATTTCTGTTTCTAACGAACGCGAGTAAATAACAATAATAATTATTTTATTTTTATTAAATATCAACAAGTTAGACATTATGATATTAATTTTGGAGTTAAAATTAAAATTTATTTTATTTTTTTAATATTATTAATGCAATAAAATTCAGTGACTTTAATAATAATAATAATAATTATAAAATCAACAAGTTTTTTATTATTTTTTATTTTTGGAGTTTAATTAAAAATTTTTTTTTAATTTTTACTAACAATAAAATTTATATCATAATAATAAAATAACAATTAAAAATCATTTATTATTATTGTTAAAGCCAAAAAAATTTTTTTAACATTAAATTTTTCAATTTAATCCTTTTGATAAAAATTAATAAAATAATATTTAATAATAATAATAATGATAATGATAATAATTTAACTTTAAGACTTTAAAAATTATTATTATTATTATTAAAACCCAAAAAAAATTTTTTTTAATTAAATTTTTTAATTTAGTCCTTGAAAAAAAAATTAATAAAATAAAATTTATCATTAATAATAATAATAATTTTATTATTATTGTTTAAAATTAAAAATAGATAAATTCAAGGTTAATTTTTTGTGTTACTGACCTAGTAGCTATATATATATAAGAAATTTTCTTTATTCGCGGCAAGTGATTGGTGAATCAGCCTAGAGCTCATATAATACTCACACTCAGTTTGTCTTGGCGACGAGACTTGGAAGCATCGCCAATTGTTTTAATTGTTTTATTTATTTGTTGTAGTTAAAATTTTAATTTTACACCTAAATTTTAGTAAAATTAATTATTAATATAAAATTGTGATTGTTTTTTAGTCGGAGCAAGTGGAGTGAAGAGTGATTGAATTGTTGGCGGAAAGGTTATATATTAACTTTGTGAGAAGACTCTACTCTGAGGACTTTAAAATGGAAAAAATAAGTGGAGTGGGTTATTAAGAGGGATGGACGTCAAAATGGTGAAATTAATAATTAATAAGTCCGACCCGCTGTGACCCCGATTGTTGTTGTTATTTGTTTTAATTTGGTTTTTTTTCCCCGTCAAGATTCCAGCAAATTTTGTGGTTAGTTTTTAATTTATTTATCTATTATTATTATTATTTTAATAATTTATTTTAAAGATTCAATTTTAAAAATTTTGTTGATTTTATTTTTGAGTGAGAAATATTGAGGACTTTAAATTGAGTAAATATTGATTTTTTTTTTAATTTTTATCAGTGATAATTTAAATTACAATACTCAATATAAAATTTTTAAATTATTTAAGTCAATATTTAATTAAAAATTTGTCATATTAAATTATCTTCTTTTAAATTTAACTTATTTTAAATTCAAAAAATTAATTTTTATCAAAATATGATTTTTTCTTCATAATTTATCATTTTTAAGTCTTTTTATCAAAATTTTCACAGAAAAAATATTCAAAAAGAAACATTTCATCAAATTTTGACTCAAAATAAGTTGAAAACAAATTTTTTGCATTAAAATTTGACTTGAATCTTATAATTTAGATTTATTTTATCAAAATTCAATTAAAAAAAAAATAAAAAATAATCAATTCATCAAATTTTGACTTAAAATATTTTTTAAAATGTTATTTTTATTTAAATATAACTCTAAATTTATTGTTTGAATTATTTACATCATAATTGGAGTCAAAAAAAAATTGTACAAAGTAATTTTTTGTCAAAAATTGACTCAAAATATATTTATTCTGACTCTCATTATCAAAATTTGACTCCAAGAGATTGTTCATAAGATTATTCCATCAAAATTTGACTCAAAATTAATTATTTAGACTCATTTCATCTAAAATTGACTAAAAATTTATTCATATTCACTTATTCTATCAAAATTTTAGTCACAATTCATTTATTTTGACTCATTCTATCAAAATTTAATTCAAAATTGATTATTTTGACTCTTTTTATCAAAATTTGACTTGAAAAAATTTTTTATAAAATTATTCCATCAAAATTTGACTCAAAATTCAATTAATTTGACTCATTCCATCAAAATTTGACTGAAAATTGATTATTTTGACTCTTTTAATCAAAGTTTGACTTGAAAAGATTTTTTATAAAATTATTCCATCAAAATTTGACTCAAAATTAATTTATTTTGATTCATTTCATCAAAATGTGATTCAAAATTAATTATTTTGATTTATTTAATCAAAATTTGATTCAAAATTAATTAATTTCATTCATTCCATCATCAATTGACTAAAAATTTATTCATATTCACTTATTCTATCAAAATTTGAGTCAAAATTCATTTATTTTGACTCTTTTTGTCAAAATTTGACTTGAAAAGATTTTTTAAAAAATTATTCCATCAAAAATTGACTCAAAATTTATTTATAATGATTCATTTCATCAAAATGTGACTCAAAATTTATTATTTTGACTCTATTTATCAAAATTTGACTCAAAATTAATTATTTTGACTTATTCAAAATGATTTTCCTAAAAAAATTTCCTCTTTAAATATTTTAAGAAAAAATTACCTCATTAAAAATATTGACATCTAATTTTGATACTCAAAAATTGTTACAGACACGCCTCCCGCTCAAAAAATCAACCCTTAGATACTTAACCCCTCAAAACAAAATCCAAAAAAATGATAAGCCTGAAGAAACTGTACCGCGAGGATCTCCTCCAACTGGCGCTGCTCCTTTCCATCCTTCGAGTTGACCCGGAGAGTTACCTGGGAATCGACATCCAGAACATCGGAGTGGGCCTTTTGGATCTGAACAATGGCTCGGGATGGCACACCGACTCCCAGACGATCGCAATCCACCGGCCGACCTTTCTTCACCCCAAAAATCCCGACTCGATGCTCTTCAACTACGAGCGCGACATCTTCGAGGAACTTAACTCACTTGGAAGGTATAACTCGCGCCTGGACGACGACCCCGGGTCACTCACTCAGAGGAACAATATTCATGCTTACCTCCTTAATGTTGAGGACTCGGGGAAAAATGCCACTGCCAACGATCGCAGCGATCCTCAAAGAAACGCTACTAATGCCGATGTAGATGTCGCTCAAACTCCGAGCGAATCTGCTGCTACTAGTGAACTTACTCAGGAGGTAAGTACTTTTTATTATTATTCATTTTTAATAATAATAATAATAATAATAAC